TGAACAGAATCTCCCCTCACTGAATTCTGAGCTTTTGTCCACCTAGTTAGAGACATTTTTCAGCCTCTCCTGCAGCGAGAAGTTGCCATGTGATTATGTATGACCAATGAAAGGTGGGAGAAAATGAAAGGTACATTTTCCAAATCTCACTCAGGAAGATAAAGGCTAGATATCCTTGATCTTTTCTACTCCCTCCTCACTCCTGTTTGCTGGAAAATGCCAACAGCTACAGCAGGCACTTTGGACCAGGCAAGAAAGCCCCATGTGAAAGATAATGTAATCCATTCATCTGACAGAAATGGCTCCCATTAGACTCCCAATGGTTCTCATGAGAGAAACAGAAATTTCTCTTTTATTTCAATGATTTTGGGAGGGTCTCTCCTTGAAAGAATCTAACATATATTCCAACTAATGCATATACTAACAGCTTTAATTTATAATCTTAAGAATGGTTAATGTTAGAAAGCAGATAATCTAGTCTACTAATTCAATGAATTATTTACAACATACTAGCAAGGGACAAATTAAATATCTCAACCTGTCCCTGTAAGTTTCTGTAAAATTCCTAGAGCTAGTCAGGTACCCAAAACTATTTGAAATAATATTCTAGTACTCTTCCCACAATAACAATGACAAACTTCTGAGCATTATCCAGGAGATGAAGATAAGCATAGATCAAATTCATCCAGGTTTATTTTTAACTTATAATATTTGTGGTGATCCTTCCAAACTCTGCATAAACTACAACTTTCCATAAATTAATTAATAATATATGTCAAAGCCCCAATAATGTATATTCCCCTTGACTGATAATTCCATTTCAACATTATTTATCCTAAGAAAATAATCACAGCAACTGTTCACGAAAACTTACATAATGGACATTCAGCACAGTCTTCATTACCATAGGAAATATCAGGAAACAATGTGAAGACTAACAATGGGATTAGGTAACTAGTTAAATTATGTAGTATTTTATCAACAATGACAGAGATGATTATATAACAAGCTTACAATTGCCAAGCACTGCTGTAATTGTATGCTTAATACATATAATCCTCACAATAAACCTAGGAAGTAGGCATTATTTTTGCCATCCTTTGATAAATCAAGAAACTGAGGCACAAGGCAAGACAATAACTTTCCCAAGATCACATAGCTAATAAATGGTAGAGCACAGATTTGAAGCCAAGAAGTCTGACTCAAGAGTCCATTATATTGTACTGCCTTTCACGTACATCTAAGTGACAAAAAACTATGCGGCCACTTAAAAAGAAGTCAAAGAGGACAGGCGAGGTGGCTCACGCCTGGAATCCCAGCACTTTGAGAGGGCCAGAAAGGTGGATCATCTGAGGTCAGGAGTTCAAGATCAGCCTGAACAACATGGTGAAACCCTGTCTCTACTAAAAATACAAAATTAGCCAGGCATGGTGGCGTGCACCTGTAATCCCAGCGACTCAGGAGGCTGAAGCAAGAGAATCGCTTGAACGCAGGAGGCGGAGGTTGCAGTGTGCTGAGACTGCATCACTGTACTCTAGCCTGGGCAACAGAATGAGACTCTGTCTCAAAAAATAAATAAATAAATAAAGTCAAAGAACAGCTAATAACATGAGTAAAACGTTCAGACTAAGTGAAAAAAGCAAGATACAAAACTCAAACAGTAGCACAGAAGTCACATAACATGATCCTAACTCTATTTTTTTTTAAAGTGCACATACACATATACATTTAAAAAGACTGGAAGAAATAAATTACAAAATACTAATAGTAGATATCTCTGCGTGATGAGACTGAAGATGACTTAATTTTCTTCATATTTTCCAGTATTTATCAACTTGTATTTCTATTGTAAGGATAGGAAAAGCACATTTTAATTTTACCAAAAGAAAGTAGAATATAGTCCTTAAACATTTTAATACTGCTTCCTTTGAAATATAATGAAGGCTTTTTATTGTTTCAATAAAAATAAACATTTTACATTCATTTATATATACTTTGTTGTCCCTCACCTCCCCCCACAAAAGGATCAAAGAATGGAATTTGATATTTTTTTTGTATTCAAAACAATAATAAAGAACAAAATCAAGGTTGTTGTAAAAGGACATAATTTTTCTGTTCAAATGAATAAAAATAATCTACCATAACATAAGGAACTGAGGTATAAACTCTAAGGTCCCTTACAGTCCTCTTACTCTGTATTAATAGTAACAAGGAAAAGTACTTATAGCTCAAAACGCTACATAGTAGCATATACAATCTTTTTAAAACACCAAGACTAACTCCAATAAAAATCACTGAAAGTATTGTAGATCACCTGAGTCTCTGCTTTTTAAAGTAGAAAAGTTAAAAGCTTCCAAATTATGTTTCTGCTATAAATTGCTTAATAATAAAGGCAATGTTGCCAGGTTTCCTTCAATAATTCTGCAGCCAACTACATTTTCAAGTTCACAAGCTCTAGAATAAAGCTGATTACCTTAAAGAATACCTCGTTTGTCAATCCTTACACTGTTATAAAACAAACAAACAAAAAAAACCTAAGGAAAATCAATTCAAACATCGCTTTTTAAAAATCAGATACATTAAGAAAGTCAATCAGAGAAATACTACTCATGATATATATGTGCTTTATAATTACATCTTGATAAATATAAAACTCTCTTGTCCTCATCTCTTAACATTGTAAAAGTAATTTTTAAATTTTTCACATAAAATAAAAATAGTAATAATTTCATATATAGTTTCAAAGCACTTCCTCACCCCTGACCACTAATTTCATCCGCAGGAAAAAACCACAGTCAATGTTTCCTGTTCTATCTGATCTCATCTAGAACATTTTGAGATGCTGTGTTACACATTAAGAGTGTATGTAACTACCAACTATAATGGCATGTTTCATCACTGCATCAACTTATTAGTCTTAATTTATGACAGGAAGCTAAGATTAGTAACTGAGAATTAATTCCCAAATTCTACATAAAAGATCAGCAGATATAAAATGGAACTTCAAGGCTACCTGAGTTCAGAGTCTCTTGTGTGACCTAATCTGGGCATTACTAAGTTACAGCTTTTTTTATTTAGAATTTTTGTAGTTTAATTCAGAAAACAGCATAAAATCAACAAAAAATAGCAATTCTAATAAAAGACCAATCAGAAGAAAATTAACCATTAATATGTGGTCTTTAAAATAAAGAACATACTACACTGAAGAATTTGAGAAATTCTGATAGAAATATTCTTTTCAAAGACGTTAACTTGCCAAACTCATCTACCACATAAGTCATTTGAACCCAATTTTTTTTTAACTAGGTTCACATGGAAATGAAAGCTATAAATAAGAAAGGAAACCATGTAAGTTTTTCCTTTTTTTTGATACAGGTCTCACTCTGTCACCCAGGCTGGACTGCAGTGGCACGACTTTGGTTCACTGCAAACTCTGCCTCCCAGGTTCAAGCAATTCTCGTGATTTAGCCTCCTGAGTAACTGGGATTACAGGTTGCGCCACCACACCTGACTATTTTTTGTATTTTTAGTAGACATGGGTTTCATCATGTTGGCCAGGCTGCTCTCAAACTCCTGACCTCAAGTGATCTGCCCATCTCAGCCTCCCAAAGTGCTGGGATTACAGGCGTGAGCCACCAAGCCTGGCCTAAGTTTTTCCTTTTAAAATATGCCGCTTATATTCAAATTCTAAAATGAACCACGATTAACAATTTTGCTTACTAAATACAGATGATACAAGCACTTTCTCCTCTGCTGAATAAGCTACTAATAAAATCCTCGTATTGCTATCTTCAGTGAATTTTTCCATGATGTCTAATGTAACCTTTTTCCATGATGTCTGGTAACCTTAAAATGCAACAGAGAAATAAGGATTCTCAGGGTTTAGTATAGGAAATGGACATGGTTATCTACTGTGACACTATAAAATAAAGATGTAAAAAACACAGTTTAGGAAAACTATGTAGGCTTGGAATTAAACAATGTCTGATTCAGAGTTTTCTTTAATCCAAAACAGCATATGGATATGTACATACACAAACATATGCCCTCAAACATATATGAGGAGTATGCATATATGTTTCATATACATTAATTATGCATATGCATGTATCTGCACATGTAAAAACTGGTTAAAATTTTTAATAGAAGAAGCTAAATTTGGAAGGAAGCAACCCTTTCTAAACGTCCTACTTTTAGGGAATATCATAGCTAACTTTAACATATTTGAGTATAAAGTACTGAAGTCATTCACATATTTTCATTCACATAATTCACTGCTAATTAAAATCATGTAGAAAATTAAATCACACAACAAAAATATTCCAGCTTCTCTACCAACTGCTTTAAGTTCAGTTGCAGCTGATTTTCAGAATCTTTTTTGGTCAACTTTATAAGCTTTAAAACAGATATACACTCCATTGATTGTTCTGTGCTCATTATTACTAAGCATTCAATTTGGTAGCATTCAAATACGACAGAGCAAGACCTAGTTTAAGGTGGCAGTTAACACAAAAGATAAAATCCAAATTTCAAGACAATATCTTGAATATCCTCCAGCAGATGCTAAAGTAAGAGGGTTTTTTAATCTTCAGAACTGGCAAGGCAGTTCATACATTAAATATTTTCAATAATTGGCATGTAATTTAGAATGAGACTATCATTAAAACTTGCTTAGCAAATTTTTTGAGCAAACTAAGAATTCTTATGGAGGAAAATCATCTACTATTTCCTTTTATGCTTGAGCTGATAAAAGTCTAAAACTCTGAAAGAGATTAAAAGGAAGTCTTTTGTTTTAGCTGATAAACTACTATAAAGCCAATGAGGAATGAGATGGTGACTGTAATTTTATATTCACAGATTCACAAATCCTTTGGGTTAAGCAAAGAGATATAGCAATATAAAGTTCCAAACTGAAGCTATCTCAAAACAGAACTGCTTGTCACCCATTATCTGCTACATTATAGATTTTGTATCATCAAGATTACATAAGGCCTGCATACCAAGTTCATCCTGCAAACTGCTACCGCCTACAGCAGACGCATTGTCATGTGATGCTTCTAAGTGGACACTCCCATTTCTCACCAGCAAGGAGGCACTAGCACTGAGCACTGCAGCCTGGGAAGGGGGGCGGGACTGGACTTTGACCTGGGCTGTGGACTGCTGGCCTTGCTGACCATCTTGAAGGCTAGGAAAAAACATGGATTGGGGAGACGTTACAGGGGAGAAAAGAGAAAACAATACCTAGAATGAAGTCAATATAGAAAACTGATTTCAAAAACGCACTTTTTTCAACATGACCTAAGAAAGAGCCAACAAACTTTGTAAAATATACAGATTACACTGACAACTTAAATCTTCTGGTCCTTACAAATTTGATTTGAAATGGCAAATGCAGTCAACATTAAACGTACATGTAAATTGGTCTTTTTCCACATCAAGCCAACTAAATTCTACTATAAGGAAAAAGAAAGCAGCAAAAAAGAATCATAAGTACATTCAATATATGTGTGCTGCAGCTGGTCCCCAATGGATAAGCCCTATGTTTCAGTTAAATATACATTTTCATTTATAGCCTTGTAATGACCCTAGAATTGTGCTTTCAAATATTCTGAGATCTCAAATTCACAATAAAACAAGTTTACATGCACTTGAGAAACAAAGAATCTTTATCAAATGCAACCAAAATAACAATCTTGAATTTAAAAAAAAATCACAAACTAGTGCAAGAAAACCAGAATAACTGACTCAACCAAGTGAAATACAAATGGCCATGGGATATAGTTAGAAGTAGAATTAACATAAAGTGTTATCTATAAAAAGTTTACATCTTTCTGAAATAAGGCCACATGATTTATGTACAAAGTATTAAACAGTTATGTTCCCTTAACAAATTTTGTTATTTCCTCTTCCAAACCATATTCCAGTCTCACATGGATCCATCATTTTAGAAAATCTTTAAAATAATTTGGAAACTAGTAATTTCTCAAATGATATTAGGCCTTTCTAAGTTTGAGAAAAACTTATAAATACTTGGTATTTTGAGATTAAAAACTTATTTATTAAGAATTTTAATAAAAATAATCTAAAGAGACTATATTATTCTTAACTCATTTTATACATTCATATTTTTATGACACTATGAATTTTACTGTTCTTAGTATAATATTTAGTCAAATTTAAACGACAAAACTCATGAAAAAATGTTTTGAGTATAATTATTATTCTCTACATGATGTTCAATGCAACTCTGCATTCTGTCGATTGATGTTTACGCTGAACAATCTCTGAGTCTGCAACTAAAATTATTACACCTCTAGAATGAACAGAAGAATCCTACTTAGGATGGCCTTATTCAGTTACTTTATCATTTTTCATGAGTATCAACATCTTTCTAATCCTTTTAATTCAATGTAATGGTTTCTCTGGTACATATAAAACAAACTCAGGTATTTCAGAATGACCATGAAATAAAAGGCTATGCTGAAACTTATATATGTATCTTAAGCCTGTGGTTATGGTAATAGAATACATTCTGGAACTACACTGTCTGATACAGTAGCCTGTGACTATCCAAATTAATTAAAATTTTAGTTCCTTGGTCCTGCTAATGCTTCAAATGCTCAGCAACTACATCATATAGCTAGTGCTACCAGAGCTAACAGCTACCAAAGTAGGCAATAGTGAGTAGTTAGCGTCTACCATGTTGAACAGGGCAGATTATAGAATATTTCCATCATCCCAGAAAGTCCTATTAACCTGCACTACTTGAAAGATTTTTCAGGTTTCTTTTAGAGCCATTGAAAAGTACACATTCTAGGCAGAGGCTAGGAATGCACACAACATATGAAAAAACTAAGTCTACAAAACGTGAACTTGTCAGTCCTTACTGGCATTATTTTAAGCCATAATGATAACAGTATTTATTTAATTATTTATTCAGACTGGAATATTTGTAGAATAGATATAAATCAAGAGATAATCTTGGGAACTAACATAATCAGATAGGTTTTTAATCTTCCATACGTATATAATTTATGTTACTCTTCCTCAGAATCTATCTAAACGTATCCACAAACCTTACCAAAAAGGACAAATCTCACGAGCAACAAAATACTGAGAAAAAAATGTTTAAGTAGTTCAAGTACCATGTCTCTGTGTCCTTTCAGATTCAGAAAACAGAGAATTTTAGAAAATATGTACTCAACAAATTTTTCTAGCAATTTTTTCACTTGACATCATAAGCCAAGTTGCCATATGGTAACTAGACATATTTTAGCATGAATGTATTAGAGTATATGCTCATCGTCAACATGGAGATGCACAATGGATATCCAATATACAAAAATGTTTTTAAGACATTAGACAATGCATAAAAATCAACTCCAGAATTAAAAAAAATAATAATAAAGAAAATTAGCCAGAATCCATGTGATTATAAACATCAGGTTTTGAACTATCAAAGGACAGTAATAAAATATTGATGTCTCTTGAATTTGTATTTTCACAATCCTTTAACGGAAGCAAACAAAGTCCATTATTTTCACATAACTTGTCACAAAACATATTTCTGGAGGACTGCACTTTATCCTAAACTAATAATTGGTACAAATAAATCTTTTTATACACTTCCAACTCTATATCAAAACTGCCAGTCTGAGTAAAGGTAGCAACTATTCTGTAACACTGCAAAAGAAAAGGTAGAAATTTAGGACTAAAACTAGCAGCTATCATTAGCATCACTGACATGCAATCTTAATTGTTAACATTTCTCATATGAATGACTGAAAAATAGGTGGTCTTGGTCTTTCCTTCTTCTGTATCACTTAATTGGCACCTGACACATTCTGCTTATACTGCTAGTTATCTTTCTATGTGTCTCCCCAACTAAAATGTAAAGTTTAAGAGTATGATTACATTATTCTTATATATCTCTAGATTCTGAAAAACCAAGAAGACTGTTTTGAATAAGGTACAAAAAATAATAGTTGGTGGATTCATTTCTGAGCACCACAAAGGGACTCCATGAATTCCTAATCATGAGCTCTCAGTTATTACTATGATCTTATTTTATTACAGATTTTTCAATCTTGTATTTTAAAAAATAAATCTAACAATTTAGATTTATAAAGCTTTTTTCTATTGATAAAGCTTTTCCCCCCTTCTGTGAAACGCACTGATGATTCCATTCCATTCCATTAACTAGAATTAAAAAGATATCACATTTAGCATGATAAATGTAGAACTCTTAATATTTGTATTATAAATATTTTAAATATTTGTCTTTTTTAGGCCTACTAACTGGGAAGAATTAGCAAAGGCCTACAAAACCTACCTATAAAATTAACAATTTTTTAAATAAAATAAAATTCAGAAAATAATTCTGAAACAGTATATTCTTATAAGCATTATAAAATAAATGCAAATTCTCTTTGTAAGAAAACTGATAATTCACTCCCAATCCTTGGGGACACATATTTTTCCAAGTGGCCCTTCAGATGGTCACTTACTTATTCATTAAAGTTTAAAATAAATTAGTATATTTACTAGTATTTATATGGTACTTGTAATGAAAGTGTAGCCACATCCATTCCATTTCTTTTTAACAATCTTTCCAAATTTTAAATGACATATCATCTTATATTTATTTAAAGATGAGATTACCATTCTGTAAAAATGATATATCATCTTATATTTATGATGAGATTACCATTCTGTAACTCACACTGAGGAATAACATCAATATACTTTACCTGAATGTTTTTATAATTACAAAACATGATTTTAATAAATTGGTGTTTCTCCCTAATTCCCCACAGCTAAATTTTTACTTTACCCATGATGAAGTCAGCTTATTTAAGATACATGCAACCTCTGTACTAGGAATATCCTGGAACCTCCATAAAAACTACAAGCTGATTACTAAAAGACTACTTTTCAAAAACTATAATGTGAACTCTTTAAAAATAAATAGTATACAACATCCTCATTTGAATGGTGATGGATTTAAAACCCTAGAAAAACATGGGAAAAGTGTATATGATTCACTGGAGTTAGAACACAGCTCTGTAATATTCCACCTGGTAGAGGACAAAAACCTAATTTGTCTACATATGTTTGCTGAGTGTTATCCAACAGGCTCATTAGTGGCAAAGAATAAAATAATTTTTAAAGACTGAAAAGCAAAAGTTAAAAAAAAAGTTTAAGATATATAAACATGGAGTAAGAAAGCACAGAAGTTGCCTTTGGCAAGTATTATTCAAGGAGCAAAAAGAAGAGGTTAGAAACAAAATAGAACAAGTAAAATAAAATGCTAAGCTCTTTCTGCGTGTTGAAACTATGTCCCAAATCCATCAGCAGAAAGAATTACTTCAGGCAGGAAAAGACAAGGTAGAAAGGGAAAAGAACAAGAGGGCTCACAAAGAGCAAAAGGCTTAGAAAAGGTTTCTAGAACAAGTGTTTCTTTTAAATTGATTGACTTCTCATTTTTATATTTTAAATATTGGTTCAATTAATCCGTATACTTTTTATAGAATTTTGTCTTATTGAATAATTAATTAGGAACATGATCTATGAAAGACAAAGTTCTTTTTTTTTCTGAGATGAAGTCTCCCTCTGTCGCCCAGGCTGGAGTGCAGTGGTGCCATCTTGGCTCACTGCAACCTTTGCCTTCTGGGTTCAAGCGATTCGCTAGCCCCAGCCTCCTCAAGTAGCTGGGACTACAGGCACATGCCACCATGCCCAGGTACTATTTTTTGTATTTTTAGTAGGATCGAGGTTTCGCCATGTTGACCAGGCTGGTCTCGACCTCTTGACCTTAGGTGATCTGGCCATCAGCCTACCAAAGTGCTGGAATTACAGATGTGAGCCACCATACCTGGCCTTTAAAACAAAATTTTTTTAAGGAGTTTTAATTGAGCAATGAACAATTTGTGTATTGGGCAGCCCCCAGAATCAAAGCACATTTAGAGAGATTCCAGGGGTACCTCATTAAAGACAAAGTTCTTGACTGTAATATAAAATCTAGGAAAACAAGCAAGTCTTAAATCTCAGGGGAGTATGAAATAAAATATTTTAAAGAAACAAAGTTTTGCTTGTTTCAAGAACAAGGTTTTAACAAGAGAAGAAGCTTTTCTCTTCCAACCTACCAAGTACTCAACAGCAGTTATTTCATCAAATGCTCTTCCTTTTTAATGTAAAATTAAAATGTACCCAGAAAATAATTTGTAAAATGGTACTCTGGGACACAAAGGCTAACAAAAGTATTTTGTATAATATACACACTGCTTAAGCAAGCATATATAAAGTATTTATATCCATTTTATAGGTAGAACACAGTGGCTCACACCTGTAATTCCAGCACTTTTCGAGGTCAAGGCGGGCAGATCACTTGAGGTCAAGGGTTCACGATCAGCCTGGCCAACATAGTGAAACCCCATCCTTACAAAAATACAAAAATTAGCTGGGCGTGGTGGGGTATGCACCTGCAATCCCAGCTACTCGGGAGGCTGAGCCAGTAGAATCACATGAACCTGGGAGGCAGAGGCTACAGTGAGCTGATGAGATCAAACCACTGCACTCCTGCCTGGGCAATAGAGTATCTATTAAAAAAAAAAAAAAAAGGTATTTATAACCATTTTTGTATTTTTAAAATAAAGTCCAAGTCTTTTGGATAGATTTTTATATTTCTAATTCCGGGCATGGATTCATCAGATTTCATGTAATTAAGAATAAAGTAGTAACTACAACTTTAATCAAAAATTGTCCACGATGTTATGAATGGATGCTTTCTTAGGACTACTGGAAAAAGTAATGATGTTTTGTTTACTACACTACGGAGCTTGAAAAATAAAGATATATATAAAAATATGTATATCTCTCTCCAACTGACCACACTTCACAGAAGTTATATATGTTAGTTCTGTCATTTACCAAATCCTGGTGATTATAAAAGGCACAAGTTTTAGGCAATATGAAATATGTAATATTTTAGTGAAATAAAATAAGCAAACTGGCTTATCAAGTTGAAGTCAATTATCGGTTATTCCTCAACAAGCTCACCACTCATATTACATTAAATGTATTTTTTTCATATTATATTAAATGCTGTCAAAATATTGGGGAAAATGTTGAATTACTATTATTAATTTGGAGTGGGAGAAGAAAAAAGGGAAGCTGACTAAGGCCCACTATATACATCCTATAACTTCCCTCAAGTGATTTTGCAACTTAAAATTGACTAGACCAATCTGATCACTTTGTTTAAACAGTGCAACATAAAGCATGCATAATGCAACAGGCTCATGGTCACATGCAGAAAAAGCTGAAAAGGGCTTAAATGTATAAGAAAGAAACCGAAAGGGAAAGAAAAACAAAGCTCTTCAAATGTTTTCTTGGAACTGATGGAACAGATTAGTAGGGCTGTTACATGCATGCTAAACTTGGTGGAATTGAAAATACCATACCTTAGGGGTGATCCGATGAGCAATGTAGGAGGGGTAGGGTTACTCCCTGCATTGTGCCGGCGCCGTACTGCCTGGCGCCTAAATGTGCTGCGTTCACGACGAAATGACACTGCCTCCTCGCTGGCTTGTGCTGCTGCATCAAGACAGACTTAGGTCAAACAGGAGCCTAGGTCAGAGACGTAAATAGCAGCTGAGCCTGGCTTTCCCTTGACTTCCCACCCTCACGGGTAAAGTGAACTTGTCTAATTAATCCAAACTGTTTTCATATGTAAACTGTCAATCTATCATATCAGGCAATACACAAAAAATATCTGGCATTTATTTAAAGATAATTGTTTCTTTAAAAATAATGTTTTTGACCTATTATCTAGCCTCTCCATTTTCTCTTCAACCTCAGTTTCCTTTTTTTTAAAGATCACTGTTGTTTTAAACCTTTTCCTGAAAGTCTCATTTTGGTCCCGTATTCCTCTCTTTCCCCGTTAATTAAATCAACCTTAAATGTACAGTATTTATTAGTTTCCACTAATGGGAATAGGGAATTACTTTCTTACATTCATGAGTATAGTAAAAGCAGCAAAGACAGTAAATTTCGCTGTTGATGACAAGGAGTAAGGCAGTAAGTTTATCTCACAGTACCCTATGCCATAATTTTGGCAGCATTAAATGAAACCTCTGATTATAAAGTTGCAAAACCAGTGTGTTAATTCAACACAGCGTGAACATATCTTACTGTAAGATACTTCATTACCATCAAACTTTATTCAATTCCATGCCCTGGCTCTGGTCCTCTCAACTTTAGGAAGCAAATATTGGCAAAATGGCAAGTATAGCAACTCACAGCTTAATCTGGAAGCAATAAAGTACAAACTAAAGCCAAGCATACAACATGAGAATACCACAACAATGGCTTAACAGTACTGCATATATCTTACAAAACTACACCAATTGACCAATTCGGGTTTCTAAAGCAAAATGTAAAATAATTTTCATCCATGTGAATATAAGACAAAACAACAGTGTGATCTAAATAATTTGGGAATCATTTTGCTTTTGAGAAAGGGCATTTTGATGCTAAATATGAATAAAAACACAAGTTAGTACAGAAACATTCTTTCTAAACATGAAATTTCCTTTAAATTCCTTTACATGTAGGTTAAAGTCCATGTATACAAAAATTATATACAGCCTATGAGAACAAATTATGCAATTAAATCTGATCACCTACAACCGTTGTCCAATGTGGTAGCCGTTAGCCATATGTGTAGGTAAAACGGAAACCAACGAGAACGAAGATACAACGTACCAGAATCTCCGGGACACATTTAAAGCAGTGTCTAGAAAAAAATTTATAGCAATAAATGCCCATATGAGAAGCAAGGAAAGATCTAAAATAGACACCTTATCGTCAAAATTGAAAGAGCTAGAGCAGCAAAATAAAAAAAAAAAAAAAACACTCAAAAGCTAAGATCAGAGCAGAACTGAAGCAGATAGACACACTGAAAAAACCTTCAAAAAAATCAATAAATCCAGGAGCTGGTTTTTTGAAAAGATCAACAAAATAGACCACTAGCCAGATTAATCAAAAAGAAAAGAGAGAAGAATCAAATAGATGCAATAAAAAAAGATAAAGGGAATATCACCACAGATTCCATAGAAATACAAACCACCATCAGAGATTACTACAAACAACTCTATGCACATAAAACAGCAAACCTGGAAGAAATGGATAAATTCCTGGGCACTTACACCCTCCCAAGCCTAAACCAGGAAGAAGTCAAAACCCTGAATAGACCAATCACAAGGGTTGAAAGTTGAGGCAGCAATTAATAGCTTACCAACCAAAAAAAGCCCAGGTCCAGATGGGGTCACAGCCAAATTCTACCAGACATACAAAGAGGAGTGGGTGCCACTCCTTCTGAAACTATTCCAAACAATCCAAAAAGAGGGAATCCTCCCCAAACCATTTGTTGAGACCAACATCCATAAAACATCTGATACCAAAACCCCACAGAGACTCAACAAGAAAAGAAAATTCAGGCCAATATTGAACATAGATGCAAAAATCTTCAATAAAATACTGGCAAACCGATTGCAACAGCACATCAAAAAACTTATTCATCACGACCAAGTAGGCTTCATCCCAGGGATGCAAGGCTGGTTCAATATATGCAAGTCTATAAACGTAATTCACCACACAAACAGAACCAAAGACAGAAACTACATGATTATCTCAATAGATGCAGAGAAGGCCTTCAACAAAATTCAACAGCGCTTTATGCTAAAAACTCTCAATAAACTAGGTATTGACGGAACCTATCTCAAAATAATAAAAGCTATTTATGACAAACCCACAGCCAATATCATACTGAATGGGCAAAAACTGGAAGCATTCCCTTTGAAATCTGACAGTAGACAAGGATGCCCTCCCTCACCAATCCTATTCAATATAGTATTGCAAGTTCTAGCCAGAGCAATCAGGCAAGAAAAAGAGATAAAGGGCATTCAATTAGGAAAGGAGGAAGTCAAATTGTCTCTATTTGTGTATGACAGGATTGTATATTTAGAAGACCCTATTGTCTCAGCCCAAAATCTCCTTAAACTGATAAGTACCTTCAGCAAAGTACCAGGATACAAAATCAATGTGCAAAAATCACAAGCATTCCTATACACCAATAACAGACTTAAAGAGAGCCAAATCAAGAATCAACTGCCATTCACAATTGCTACAAAGAGAATAAAATACCTAGGACAGACATCCTCAAACTACGGCCCGTGGGCCGCATGCGGCCCCCTGAGGCCATTTATCTGGCCCCCCGCCACACTTCAGGAAGGGGCACCTCTTTCATTGGTGGTCAGTGAGAGGAGCACAGTATGTGGCGGCCCTCCAACGGTCTGAGGGACAGTGAACTGGCCCCCTGTGTAAAAAGTTTGGGGATGCCTGACCTAGGAATACAACTAACAAAGGATGTAAAGGACTTCTTCAAGGAGAACTACAAACCACTGCTCAACAAAGTGAGAGAGGACAAAAACAGATGGAGAAACATACCATGCTCATGGTTAGGAAGAATCAATATTGTGAAAATGGCCTTACTGCCCAAAGTAATTTATAGATTCAACGCCATCCCCATCAAGCTACCAATGACCTTCTTCACAGAACTGGGAAAAACCACTTTAAACTTCATATAGAACCAAAAGAGAGCCTGTATAAAAAGCTGGAGGCATCACGCTACCTGACTTCAAACTATACTGTAAGGCTACAGCAATCAAAACAGCATGGTACTGGTACCAAAACAGAGATATAGACCAATGGAACAGAACAGAGGTCTCGGAGGCAACGGCACACATCTACAACCATCTGATATTTGACAAACCTGACAAAACAAGCAACGGGGAAAGGATTCCCTGTTTAATAAATGGTGTTGGGAAAACTGGCCAGCCATGTGCAGAAAGCAGAAACTGGACCCCTTCCTGACACCTTAAACTAAAATTAACTCCAGATGGATCTAAGACTTAAGACCTAACACCATAAAAACCTTAGAAGAAAACCTAGGCAAAACCACTCAGGACAAAGGCATAGGCAAGGACTTCATGACTAAAACACCAAAAGCATTGGTAACAAAAGCCAAAATAGACAAATGGGATCTAATTAAACTCCAGAGCTTCTGCACAGCAAAAGAAAAAATCATTAGAGTGAACCTGCAACCAACAGAATGGGAAAAAATTTTTGCAATCTACCCATCTGACAAAGGACTTATATCCAAAATCAACAAAGAACTATAACAGACTTACAAGAAAAAAACAAACAAACCCATTCAAAAGTGCGCAAAGGATATGAACAGACACTTTTCAAAAGAAGACATATATGAGGCCAACAAACATATGAAAAAATGCTCATCGGGAGGGTGGGCAAGGATAACATGGGGAGAAATGCCAGATATAGTATACATCTAAAGTAAAATAAATAAATTTAAAAAATAAAAATAAAAAATAAAAAATAAATGCCCATCATCACTGGTCATTAAAGAAATGCACATCAAAACTACATTGAGATACCATATCACGCCAGTTAGAATGGCAATCATTAACAAATCTGCAGACAACAGATGCTGGAGAGGATGTGGAGAAATAGGAACACTTTTACGTTGTTGGTGGGAGTGTCATTTAAGGGCCAAAGAACACTGCCTAATTTCTAAGCATCAATTCTGAATTAAAATAATTTTCAACTGTGAAAACATTTTAAAGGACTGACCTACTTTTTGACAAGCCAAGAAACAGGAGTAAACAATAACAAAATTATTAGCTGTGGTTGGGCTCGTTGGCTCATTCCTATAATCCCAGCACTTTGGAAGGCTGAGGTGGGCAGATCACAAGGTCAGGAGTTCGAGCCCAGCCTTGCCAATATGGTGGAACCCCATATCTACTAAAAGTACAAAAATCAGCTGGGCATGGATGACAGGCACCTGTAGTCCCAGCTACTCTCAAAGCTGAGGCAGGAGAATGGCCTGAACCTGAGAGGTGGAGGCTGCAGTGAGCTGAGATCACACCATTGCTCTCCAGCCTGGGCAACAGAGTGAGACTCCGTCTCAAGACAAGAAAAAAAAAAATTATTAGCTCAGCTTTTAGTTAAGGAGAATTTGCATATTCTTACTGATATTTTCCACAGCTCAGAAGCCAAACAAATATAGCTTCAGTATTACTTACTTTTATAGGTGATTTCTTATCCTTTTTAATCCTTTATGAATGAGATGAAAGATATCAACCCTTCAGATACAATTTTGCATCTACTTTCAGGACAGTCCCTTAATAAAGGCTCATTTGTGATGAACATAGATATTTGAAGCGACATTTTTGAGAGGGGAAACATCCTTACAAATGAAAGACATAACTGTATTTGTTTATAAAATGAACCTACAATACACAAAGCATTTTCACATTTCTATACTTACTAGGTTTAAGCTCACTGGAGTCTGACAGTTAACTGTGACACAGTCCTAGACAGTTATTATTCCTGTTTTACAATTGAGGAAATTGAGGCACAGTTTTGATGGCTTGCCAGAATATTCAGACAGTAATTAGAGGTGGTATGAAAATGTAACCATTTGATTCCTTACCCAGAACTTCATTATTGAGAGAAAGAAAAATCATGGTAATGTTTGTTCCTACTTAACAAAATCATGCATGGGCTGGTTTTGGGAATTCTATATGTAAACATCTATTTGCTTCACCAATAAACACCTCTTTTCTTGATATTGTTGGAAAGGAAGATAATTTTGCCAAACCTATTTTGCTGTATTTAATGAGCATTCTTCTACACGGTTTTATATGTTTAAGCTTTTTTCACGGTAAAGAACATCTTTCCTTAATAAATCAAGGTCAGCCACATATACAATGAGTACAGCACTATACTTTAATACAGCATAAGTTACACTATTATGATGTCCTTGAAAACTATTAAAATAAGAAAGATAGCCTGCCCCTGCATTGAATAACCACACATCGCTGGGTTTCCTACTTTGGCTTGTATAGTTATTATAGCTCCTCTTTTAGAGTCAGCTGTGTATTTCTTCTGCTGTCATAACTTCAGCCTCTATAAGTACCCATACCTTCGACTAATTTACTGCTTCTAACTTTCCATGTAGACTGGGATATCAGAAAATTAAGTTTATTAGACTTGAGAGTCTTTCTAGTTAGTAAAGTACAAAAGCTATAATTTGCATTTTCTTGTCTGTTTACTGGTCTTTATCTTCCATCTAATGCTTAATGATATTTGGGTACAAAATAGCACACCTTCAATTTATGTGTACAGCACAAAGCCTGATAAATACTTTATTGAAATGATCTGCCTTTTCTTTAAATAATTGTTTCTTTAAAGATTATCTTTGTTTCCCAACACAATATTAGGATCCTATTTCATGCTTACGGAATAATGACTCAAACATTACATTTAAAATAAATTTCACAGAGAAATACAGGTTAAACAATTCAGAAAAAAGCACAAAGAATAATAAGTAAACACAAACCTCTCCACTAGGGCTATTCTTTGTAATCCAATAAGTGAGACACATAATATGCTATAATAACAATATTGAATCACACAGGAAATAAGTTTAAATGGCCCAAAAAAAAAAGGACTTTATTAAAAGTAATATAAGCTAGAAAACACAGGACATTTTTCTACCATATAGCCTGTATATAGTTTTCATTTCTTAAAATATTTGTCATAAATTTAAAATATACCTTATAATTTAAAAAGAAAATTAAGTACAAAACAAGAGATCAACAGAAAATGACGTAGTCTGACCTTAAAACATATTTCCTGTCTCAGTAATCACAAACCATTAATGATGAAATCCAGTTTTAACCAAATAATTTGATTAATGATGACAGGGCCTATGAAAACAATCACTTGTTATGTGACTAAAAAATGTAAGTTATATGGCATACTACTGCCAAAATGAGGTTAAAAATCTATGTCACTAAACTGATGTTAATAAAAAATGTTTTTCCTATTGGCATTATGTAAGAAACTGGGGAATCAGATATTTTTATTTTTACTATTATTGAGTTTCACAATGGCACACTTAGAATATCACTACTTTATTTCTACATTTAATCATTTTCTTCTATTTTAATTTTATACCACTGAATTAATGGGGTTAAGGAACAGGCTACACCGTGTAGCATGAGTAACTGGCCTTGAACAGTCACAGCAGCACTAGTAAGCATTTACCATGTGCTAAGCACTGTTATAAGCATTTTCCTGTATTAACTCCTTAGTCCTCACACAACCCTATGAGATAGATATTCAATCATCTCATTTTCAGGTAAGGAAGCTGAGGTTTATAAGTAGCTTTCCTAGAGTCACAACAGTGAAGCCCACATACTAACAAGGTATTTGACTTCATGTCATTAAACTAGATTACCTCAGATTTTAGAGTACTTTTAGTACTTTAAAGTATATTTCCTAAATTCCATCTTTCCACACCACCACCACCTACCTTAAAATAAAACAAAAAGAAACTGTTGGAGAATTTATCAACACCTTCAAATTCTTTAGGATAAAATCTATCTCTGCAAAGGTATATGGATGGCCAAACAGTAACATGATTTGTTGACAGGTCTCAGTAGTACAGTATGTAAGAAAGGACAGCCCAAAAACATTTATTCTACATTGTCAGACATTTCTTCTACATTGTAACAAGTAATGCCAACATAAACAAATATCTTTAACCAGTATTTGAGTATCTATGTAATTTTTAAATAATGAGAATCAAACAAATCCTCTTCCACCACCTCCAACCTTCCAAAAAGCCCAAATAAACTCCCAACAAAACCTCTATATTTAATTATGATAAAAACCAATTTAAAAACCCCCAACACATTTAAGTGCTTTAGTTTTGCTCTTGTTTATATTTTAAACCCAATGAAGCTCAAATATAAGTAGACTTTGCAATGCTTAGGCAAAAATCCTTAGGTAAAAAAAGGTTTTAAACAGCTCACAGATTATTACGTTTCTTCCAGCGAAGTAGATGGAAATTTTTATTTCATTATTTGTTTCTAAACATTTAATGGAGTTATTTTTTAAAAAGAGTACAAACAAAGAAAACAAAATCTAGAGCCTGGAAAAATGAGGGTTACTATAACTTAACAGCACCAAGAGGCAAATAACACCTTTCAGGTAAACTTTTTCTTTAAAAAACAGAATACTCCACATTCCCCACGAAAAGAAAATGACATATTAAATATGAAGGCCTGAATTTACTACATACTTTTGCACATATTTTTGCAGTATTGACATTTCAACAATATTCAGAATAGCAATATTTTTCTATTATAGCATGTTTACTTAAAATTCATTTTGACCATTTTAAAAATTAAGATATATTTTAAAATCTAATTGTTTCTTGCATACCGTGAACATATCTGATATGATTTGTGTGAGAAATCACTACAAGCATTTCAGATTGTTTACCAAAAAAAGAGAACTATATCCAGGTCAAAGACTCAAGGGAATTTAATTACTCCATTGTCACCAAATGGTTATAACTACTTCAGATATTATTAGTTCTCAATATTTAGGTTTGATAAACTACATTCTTCTTTAGGTACGAGATAATTTCTTTACATTCCCATTAGAAATTAAGCTGGCTAAAAACTTCACCCCCCCAAAAAAAATTTACAGAAATGTTTACCACAATATAGACTTTTAAAATACTCTGGATGAAATTAACATCTTTGAGAGAAAAAGCATATATTCATGTGTTTCAGAATGTTTGTACGAACAAAATCCAGCTTAACTTTTAATAAGTGACTGAACATTACTATATTAAACAGACTATAAACTTTAAAACTAAAGATACAAGCACAAATAAAGAAAGGGAATAGCGGTAGAGGCTAAAAAAGCCAAGGTACTAACAACAAAAGACCTGATTCTTCTGATTCTGAAGCAGATTCCATAATAAACAGAACCAAATAAGCAAACGATCTTGGGCAGAAGAAAATAGCAAGAAATAACAACTCTGAAATAAAGAGGCCAACACACACTGACAGAATATCCAATTTTGCACAATTCTCCATAAACTTGAAATAAACTATTACTTTAACCAGAACACCATCACTGTCATTATGGGGGCATCTTACATCAATTAATGGATACCAAATGTCAATATAACCTACAAATTAATAAATGTTAAGAATAACATGAAATTATGGAAAAAAATATTTTTGTAATGCCTGGAACTTAAGCAAGAAATAAAACCAATGACACAGATTTTTAAAAAGAGCCATAATTTTCAAACTACATAATCAGAGTTAAAGTAACATTTGGAAAACTCTTATATAACAGGCTGAGTGATCTAATTCTGAAAGTTCAGTGTCATATACTGTATAAGAGATGACTAAAACTGGTTTGGTGTCCTTACATAATTATGTATTTTGCTGTTGCTACTGTTATAAAAAGGAAGGGGGCTAATTTTTGTTATTTCCGGCAAAACATTTACAGGTGGCAGCTGGCTTAGAAACTGGTGTTTTTGACACCATCAAGAACAAATCAACATCCTCAAATACTGCAACCAAAAAAAATATTTTCTTGGTGTTCATACCAAAACCTTTTCTAACCTACCTCTCCATTCAAGAAAGGTTATTTTAATAACACAGTGGAAGGGGAAATATTAACAGAAGCATATTTTAGTAAGTACAACTCCAATTAACAGTAAGATATAGTAGTGACTCAGAGAAATCTCTTCTTACAGTTTACTTACCTCCACTGACTGCATCTTGCTCTTCCCCTTCAGGAAATGCAACCTGGTTTGGCAAGCTACTCCTAGATCGAGTGACTGTCTCTAACTGGGAAGCCCGTCCTAATAAAGATAGCTCATCTAGCACCTCGCCCTCTTTGGCCTCAAGATCTGACTTTGAAGTGGTTAAGGGCTTTATGCTTTCAGGTGCCATTAACCTGTTCGAGTCATTCAAACATGCTACTGTGCCACTGTCCAGGCTCAACACTCGGGCGCGAGTCTTGGCACTATTTGTGCTAGAAGTCCGTCGTGTTGCACGCTTTTTGCCGGTTCCTTCAGGACCCAAATGAGCTTTGTGTGTGTGTTCAGAGTCTGTGCCCCTTTCTTTATGAGTGTGTTTGGTCTTTAGAGCACTGTATCTACCTTCAGGAGACTGACAGGAATGAGAAGTGGTGCTAGACGAGCTATCACTGCTGAACTGGTGAGCAGACTGAATACTTGATGCTCTACTCAAGTCACTTTGATCACTAGAGTCCTCGTCATGACAAAATATAGCACTGTGTGGCTTGGTACCAGAAACACCTCGAAAGCAAACATAGTCCCTATGTCGACTTGAATCAAAACTGCTAGCCCGTTTTTTTCCTGTCCGTCTCCTGCCCGACTTGTGGGCAGAAGCTGTCCGATGGATTACGCTAGAAGATTTTGGTCGAACATCTCCTTCCTTTTGCTTTCCACCAACATCTTTACACACTTTGGAATCCACAGAAACAGCTGACTTATCACTCTGCTCTTCTTTGTTTTCTGCAGTGTTCCCAGGTGGTCTGTCCCCTTGGGAAGTAAATTCATTTGCATGGGGATTTTTATTGGCTTCTTCAGATGCAGAGGTGGTGAGATCTCTCTGGTTGTGCATCTCATCAGAGGGGGTAGAGTCCTTGGCTTCGTGAAGCCCACTGTTGGTACTCGCTTCCATGGCAATCTTTTCACTGTTAGTCCTTTTGACACCAGCACAGCTACTCTTTTCCTCTAGGCCTGCACAGCACTCTTTTTTCCTCCCACTTTTTGTTCCTGCTTTAGGAGATTGCTCATGCTCTGACAAAATGCTCTCTATGTGAGTTGAGCTGGTATGCTCACTTTTATAGCTGCTGACAGTACTGTTAGTGTCCCGGTCTGTTCCACTGCAGTAGCTCTCTGTTGACCCACTACTCCGTGTGCTCAGGCTCCTCAAGCTGTCCATGCTTTTGTCTGCTTTCAAAGGTTTGCTCTTCCCACTTTTTGTGGGTGGCTGAGAAGCATTGATTTTCAAGTCACCAGCAAGCTGAACTTCCCCAGATAAACCAGAATTTTCCACCAAGGATTCTTTGGATCCAGAAAGAAGCTTGGAAGATTCTAACTCACTAACTGGATCTAACCCCCGTCTTTGCTGATAAAGGGGAAAATCATTCAGTGACGTGTCTGGAAAAGCCACAGCAGAGCTAGAAGTCCGTGGTACGCCTCGCGGCCGGTGGTCTTTTCTGTAAGAGTGTGAGTGTAAAGGTACAAGAGAAGCTACTTCTGTGTCACAGGCACTGGACAGAGACTGATCAACATGGTGGTGGTGGCTATGACTTGGCAGGCTCACTTTGTCACTGACGTCTCTTGGTAAGTCCTGTCCACAAGAGGATAAGGAAGGCTGAATGGAGATGAAGGAGTCATTGGAAACAAGACGAAAGAGCTTCCGATCAGTCGCCAATTCTGTTTCAAACACATATTTGGAAACGTTAAAATAAATGTATGATCTGCTTTTCCACTGTTTAACAATGGAAAGAACTTACTGCATACAGTAAATAAAGTATAAACAATTTCTCAAGTAGTTCACCAAAGAGCTGGCTTCTGTTTCACAGCTGCACAAAGAAAGCATTCTACTCATGAAATGAACTGAACTTCCAAATCTTTGGGTCTTCAATTGACCTCAGAAAGAGTTCTATAGACTATCAACAATAAAATAAGAGGCAACAAAGGATTATAATTAAAAGAGGCCTGGACTTCTATGCAAGCTCTGTCTCCAACTTACTAACTAGGTTACTCTGTGTTACCCCTCTAAGTCTCTATTTCCTCAGCTGCAAAACGTGACACCAACCTCAGAGTCACAAGCAAGGAATAAGTGAGTTAATGACATATACTGCTTGACACAATGCTGTCACCATCAAAGGTAGCTATCATTATTTTACCTTACTAACATAATACTAAAGTCCTTTCAAAAAGCTAATATGATTATTTTACAAATCAAGAAAACCTAATTAGAAACAAACAAACAAAAATAGGTTGACCATCGCCCAAACAAGATATAATGACATAAGACATCTTGCTGTTCAGAATGGTTAAAACACCAATAATTACAGAGCAAAATACTGCATTTTATCCTTCATTATTGGTATACCAATTATAAGATATTTCATGAAAAAAATACTTTTCTTGTATCTCTAAGATCACTGCTTTAACCCTCCCTCTAGACCAGTGATTAGTGACTTATTGTACATACTATATATATAAATGAAAATATAGATATAAATAAATGCATCTACCTACCTACCTACATTGTCTTGGAATACAGCTTGACAACCAAGCTGCACGATAGCTGATTTTTTAATATACGTTTTGACAGACAAGGAGATTTGAACCTGCTGTTAGTTCAATAAGAAGAAAAATTATTGGCTTATTTGTCATAGCTGCATAGACAAAGTGCAATAACAGATTCTATAGTAAATCTGAGTCTTCCTAGTAGAATCTCAATGACCAAAGCAGACATTTCCCCCTAAAATTAAAATAAAAGAATGAGTTACTAAAAATGTTTATATACTTTTAAAAAATCTAAATGTAGATTTAGCTATGATTAATTAATTAAAAACTCACAGCTAGCCTCTGGAGTATACCATAAAAACTGTAGCTTATAAATGTCTAATCATACTTTTTCTTACATTTTAAAGTTTTCAAGGTAAGTAAAACCCATGTTCCTCATTATTTTACGAGCACAGCTGCTTCTGTAGTTGGGTTCTTATATCTTCTAAATATCAAAATTTAAAAGCTAGCTTTGTACTTTTTGTAGTATTAAATCATAAAGTTATTTTTTTAAAACTCTCAAAAAAGCAATTATGGGTTGGTGTGATATTCACACATTTCAAGGATATGAATTTTACAGAAAACTTATCAACTCTGAGTAAGTAATTGAAAAATCACTAAATCTAAGATAACAAAGGATTTTTTAAAAATGCAAATGATCAAAACCAACTTCCTTCTGGGAAATTAATAAAACAGAAATGAAAGTATTTCATTTTAAAAGACATAGCCAAACTTACTTTAATACATGCACTTTTTTTCTATACTGCTAAACAAATATACCATAAAAGGTTTAATTTTGTCAGAAAGAATTTAGGTGGTTTCAGGAAATTTTCAAGTAAATACATTTTTTACTACTGTTACCCATATGAAAAAAGATTATATCAAAGAGGCCTAAATCAACACAAAGAGATACTATTTTTCATTAAATCAAACTTTTCTTTTTTGTAATTGTTATTAGTGGCATTTAGAATAAGAAAGGCATACTGCTCACAGTGGTACTAACTGGTATAAACTTCTGTAAAGCAATCTGGCAATAAGGCCAAGAAACTTGAAAAGGTATTCTTACCTTCAAGGTAGGAAACTGTTCCTAAAGGATAGAGTCAAATATGTGTACAAGGTTTTTAGCACAAAGTTGTTCATGTCACATTACTACAAAAGTTCTTAAAGCACAAAAAGTATAACGATGTCCTATAAATAATGACTGAATAAGTTATGAAGTTTACTAATAATTTCACTCAAGTACTAAAAACTTTTTCAAAGATTATGTAATAACATGAGAAAATACTTAAATGAAAAAGGTGACACTATATAAAAAGTATAATTCCAGTTCTGTAAGTTTAAACGAATGCTAATGGTATACATGCATATATTTTTATAAATGTAAAAAGTGATATACCACAGTTATAAAAAGAAAGTATGACCACAGTCATAAAAAGAAGTAACATCCTGATACATGCCAGAATAAGGTAAGTGAAAGAAGCCAGGCACATTAAAAACACATATGATTGCATTTATATGAAATGTCCAGAATAGGCAAATTTATAGAAACAGAAAGTAAACTAGAGGTTGTCAGGAGCTGCTTAAAGAGGAAATGGGGAGTGTAATAGGTGCAGATTTCTTTCTGGGGTCATGAAAATGTTCTTGATTTAGATTGTGGTGATGGATGCATAATATTCTAAAAACCACTGAATCATATCAAAATAAAAAAATATGAAAAAGTGATATGCCAAGAAAAAACTAGTTTCTCAGTGGCAGAAGTGTAAATCACACTTTCTCTCTTCTGATCTTCCTCATCAATTGATTATGGATAATAATCAATTACACAAACATGCTGTTATTTCACTTAAAACACCTTACAAAAATCAAAATCCCTCCCTTATCTTTACTTCCCCTGCTCGCTATCACCTTTAAAAAATTCACTGAAAAAGTGGTCTATATTCACTCTCTGATTCTTCTCCTCAAATTCTCTCTTTGGATTCCAATTTAACTCCCTTAAGACTGTGTTTATCAAGGTCACCACCATCCTCTACATTGTTCAATCCAATGGTCAAGTCTCAGTCTTCATGTCACCTGACCTATCAGCAGTACTTCAGGAAACTGGTCAGTCCATTCTCCTTGAATACAGGCGTATAACAGTCTTGGTTTTCCTTTGATCTCCCTAGTTGTTCCTACTCAGTCTCCTGGACTTCTTAAACTAAAGAGGCTCAGGATTCAGATCTTAAAACTTTTTACTTTGTCTTGCTCTGACATTCAGGCTGAAGTGCAGTAGTGCAATAATAGCTCACTGCAACCTTGATCTCCCAGGCTCATGCAATCTTCCTGCCTCAGCCTCACAAGTGTCTGGGCCACAGGTGTATGCCACCACACCCCGATAATTTTTTGTATTTTTCTTAGAGACAAGGTTTCACCATGTTGCCCAGGCTGGTACTAAACTCCTGGCCTCAAGCAATCCTCCCACCTTGGCCTCTTAAAAGTGCTAGTATTACAGGTGTGAGCCACCACACCTGGCTAGAACTTTTCACTTTTCTACCTATACTACCCCCATGACAAACTAAAATTCAGAAATATTTGTAACTAGTTCCTCCATTTTCTACCCAGTCCTTGTATTCATATGGGGATGGTCTGAAGTTCTGATATTGGATAGGGAAGACAAGAATGAGAGGTAAGGAAACGAGATTATCTTAGAAGTGAAAAAGTTGAGGATACATCCCAATATCCTGTTTGCCCCCAGTCATCCTGAATGATGCGACAAAATGCCAACTAATCAACTAACTATTAACCAACTAACTAAAGCTCATTGTCCTGTAAATCCTGTAAATACAAACCAGAGGAGAGAATGGGAAGAGTCCCAAATGATATTTAAGCCAGCATGAACATTTGCCACTAGGTGGCGCCAAACCCTAGCCAGGAAAAGAGATTTGGATCAAGAAGTCAGGCCACATAAACCCCAACCAGCTAACCAGAAGGCTTGCCCTGATAGTTTATCAACTTTATAATACCCAATCCCTTAACTGACATGACTGATTTTGTTGACTGAGGAGGAGCAGATTTAAGGTGGAGTGTAGTGGTACAATCATGGCTCACTGCAGCCTTGATCCCCCAGGCTCAAGCAATCTTCCTGCCTCAGCCTCACGAGTAGCTGGGCCACAGGTGTATGCCCGCTGTGTTGTTGTTGTTGTTGTTATTTATTCACTGACAACTTCTAAATCTAAAACCCCCAACTCAGACCTCTTACCTGAAATCTGGACCTCTCTATCTGCTCATTGCTGTGTACAGGTCTAACAGCACTGTTATGCCTTGAACTGAACCCCCTAACTTACCCCCCAAGCTCTCTCCACCTCGAATCTACTTCTTAGTCTTCCTCCTTTCAGTTAGCGGGCCCTCGTCCTCCCTGATGCTTAACTCAAAAGCCTTTAAGTCATCCATGACCAATACTTCTCTCACACAGTATATCCAAATCCATAACCTATCTTCTTAGCATCTTCTACACACAGTCACACTACTTCTCACTACTCTGATCTGTGCTCTGGATTGCTGCACTAATCTGCTAAGTGAGCTCCCTGCTTCAACTTTTGCCCCTTTTAATATATTCCTCAAAATAGATACCAGTTATTCCAATGAAATGAAATACAACCCTTTGGCAGTTCCTTATCTCACTCTGAATTAAAATGCACCTTTAAAATGGCTTACAAGGCCGGGCGCGGTGGCTCAAGTCTGTAATCCCAGCACTTTGGGAAGCCGAGGCGGGTGGATCACGAGGTCGAGAGATCAAGACCATCCTGGTCAACATGGTGAAACCCCATCTCTACTAAAAATACAAAAAATTAGCTGGGCATGGTGGCACATGCCTGTAATCCCAGCTACTCAGGAGGCTGAGGCAGGAGAATTGCTTGAACACAGGAGGCGGAGGTTGCGGTGAGCCGAGATCGCGCCATTGCACTCCAGCCTGGGTAACAAGAGTGAAACTCTGTCTCCAAAAAAAAAAAAAAAAAACAAACAATGGCTTACAAATCTCCATACGGTTTAGCCCTTCACTTACTTTGAGTCAGCCATATTTCTCAAAGCTGACAGGCACACTCCTGGTTTAGGGCTTTACCCCTTGCTGTTCCTCCTTCGTGGAGGAGGCCCCTCCCCTCAGATATCCTGAGAGCTCACTCCTTCTTCAGGTCTTAGCTCTCAGAAAGGCTTGCCTTCAACTACTCTATTTAAAATTAAAATGTCCCCAGTCCCCACCAATCCCTATCTTCTGTCTCTACTTACTACATATAAGGTGATTTATACCAGTATGATTCCATATTAATAGTATGAAAGCCACATGAGGGTGGAACATTTTGTCCTTTTACTCACTGATTTATTTCCAGTACTTAAAAGAGTGCCAAGAGTACTCAACAATATTTGTTAAATGTTAAACATATGGGAAAATGTTACATGATAAAAGCAAGTTTTAAAACTATATGAAAATAGTATAAATTTTAAAAAGCATAATTCAAAACTAGATTTGAATTACAGGACTGCCACTCTGTAGCTGTGTGACTTTGAACAAGTTTCTTTTAACTTCTCTCTAGGCAGTAACATGCTCATCTGTAAAGTGAGAATAACAACAGTACCAACTTCACAGTTTATAGTGAAGATTAACTGGATGAACGCATATAAAATGCTTAGAAGAGGACTTAAACCAAGGGTTGACAAACTTCAGGCCAATGAAGCCAAATCCAGCCCTCAAACTTGTTTTTGTAAACCAAAATTTTAGGAGAGCACAGCCATGCCCACTATTTTTGTATTGTTTATGACTCTTTTCACTCTACAATAGCAGAGTTGAGCAGCTGAGTAGCAAGAGAAGCCACATGTCCTATCTACCAAGCTATCTGGTCCTTTACAGAAAAGTATCCTGACCCCAAACTTGGCCAACAGTAAGCACCCAGTGAATGGCAGACATCATTGTCTATGTGAATGCATAGCTACAAGGGTAGATTTGTGTGTATATAATTCCCAACCTGCCAGACTATAAAAATCTTATTTACATATGGTACTTTCCAGATATGAAATAAGATATATAATCCCTAAACACAAGGGCACCAACCCCTCTAAGGTTATTATCTAGTTGTTGAGACACTGTGATGGTCTCATATTGTAGAAACGGATATTGCTATTCTCAAAGCAATTGATACTGATTGCTTGATAAAGAGAGAGAGAGAGAGGGAGGGAGGTAGAGAGAAAGAAAGAAAGAAAGGTCTCCCTCTGTTGCCCAGGCTGGAGTGCAGTGGCACTATCACATGCAGTGGCACTAACACAGCTTACTGCTGCCTCAACATCCTGGACTCATGTGATCCTCCCGCCTCTCAGCCTCCCAAGTAGCTGAGACTACAGGCACACACCATCATGCCTGGATAATGTTTTTTATTATTTTTTGTAGAGACAGGCATCTCACTATGTTACCAGGGCTGGATGTTTTTAAAAGTTTCCATAACACAAAGTACACTACATACATACGTATACACATACATTTATTTATTATTTATTTATTTGAGACAGAGTCTCGCTCTGTCCAGGAATAACTGCAGTCACGCAATCTTGGCTCACTACAACCTACGCCTCCCAGGTTCAAGTGATTCTCGTGCCTCAACTCCTGAGTAGCCAGGATTACAGGCGTGGACCACCACCCTGGATAATTTTTGTGTTTTTAGGAGAGACAAGGTTTCACCATGTTGCCCAGGCTGGTCTCACCTGGCCTCAAGTGATCCACCCACCTCAGTCTCCCAAAGTGCTGGGATTACAGGCATGAGCCACTGTGCCCAGCCCACACAGTACACTTATGGTTAAATAGGGCAGTCCACAGAAGCAAAAAAAGAATGACAGGGTACTGTAATTCCAAAAAAGCAGAGAGTTACAATAATAAACTTAAAATTCCAACTAACAGTAACAAAATATGCTCGTAAGAAATGAACCTGGGTAAAATATTAATGGGCAAACGTCCTAATTTAGTTATCTGTTTGTAGTCTCATAAACAAGTTTCATAATTAAAAATAAAAAATTTGTCAGCCTGTCTGCCCACCAAACATCACCCATAGGTTAATAAAAATAACACGGTTATAACAGGGTGGCAATAGTGAGACAGGCTTCTAATCTATTTCTGGCTCATTAATTATAGAACCTTGGATAATCTCCATCAGAAAAATGGGGATGACATATCTGTTGCTTTATGTTTGAAAATAAATCAATAAATCAATTTTATTGATTTTTTTAAAAAAATCAATAAAATTCAAAATACTTATGCACAACAGAGTTGAACAAAAAAAAAAATCACAAATAGTCAAAATTTCTATTAACAATCTGCAACATCCATGTTGGTAACAGATGCACGGTTTCTCAGTAAGTCCAACAGCAAGTTATTTCTCTATGATATGGTTTAGATATTTGTCCCCCTCCAAATTTCATGTTCATCCTCAATGTCAGACGTGGGACCTGGTGGGGGAGATTTGAGTCACGAAGGTGGATCCTTCATGAATGGCTTGGTGTCATCTCTGCAGTAATGAGTGAATTCTCAGTCTATTAGTTCACACAAGAGCTGGCTGTTGAAGAGACCATGTATGGCATCCCTCTCCTCTCTCTCTCTCTTCCTCTTTCACCATGTGACACACCAGTTCCCCTTCCCTTTCCATCATGACTGGAAGCTTCCTGAGGTTCTCACCAGAAGCAGATGCTGGCACCATGCTTCTTGTACAGCCTGAACCGTGAGCCAATTATACCTCTTTTCTTTATAAGTCACCCAATCTAAGGTATTTTTTTATAGCAATGCACATGGACTAAGACACTATGTCAAAACTTATTACTGTTTTTGCAGTTGGCAAGAGATGAAGCAGCTGGCATTTAGAGATCATACTGAATGGAAAATAATAGTTTCACACACTAGGTTATCCCTAAGCTGGGCTAGTTGGTCTGACCAACTTATGTAATAGCAGATTCTTATCTCCCATCTCATATTCACTCTGGGGCACATGCTCACAGAATTTCTCTGTCCGTGTTTATCTGACAGAACATGTATAACTGAGTTCCAGTAAGCTAAAACCATGTATAACTCTGTATAACTACCATTCCAGTAACATTTTATGTTAATGTTCCCTTAAATACCATATTAAATTGTTATAAACTTCTGCCAAATTTTACACAGCATGTTCTACAAATTCACTCTGGTCACCACAGTATATGACATCACAGTAAAGAATAATGTTCTTACCTTGTTCTTCACTTTCTTCCTTACAAAGACTAGAACTCTGGCCCAGACTTAAACTTATATCATCAGAAGTCTTAGCAGTGTCAGTATCTCCTACAAAGAGAAACATATGAGGACATTATATTAACAGTAAAGCTGTAGTGTGCAGGAAGCATTAATACAGCAAGGATTACTGGTGTCTATCAACTAAAGCAGTTTTGTGTATCAAAGGTTACAATGATGGAAGATGCACTGAACTAACAGGAAGTATCATGGACTATAAGAGCACTTAATTATTCTCACAGAACTAAAAACCAAACAACATGGAAAGCTTCAAAATGTAAACTAATAAAACTATTTCTTTAAAAACAAGTGGATTTTTAAAAGGAATGCAAATTACATAACAACTTGAACCAACATGAATTTCCTTCACAGGGAAAATTAGTAACCTTAAAAAGTATAGGGTAGAAACAATATGAAATTATCTGAATAGAACAAATAGCAGAAAATAACTTGCTCTTTTTTGTGTGTCTCACTGGTGCCCACATTCAATGGTTCACATCAAATTACTTAGTTTTCCATGAACCCCACTAAAACCCATGAAAGTGTTTTCCCTCAAAGGCAAGGTAATTTCTTATAGATCAAAACTTATATAATTCATGCAAGGTAATGTAAGTGGTCAAACACTTCTGTGAAATTTGGATGATGAAAGAGAATAGGATGTAAGTCAAGCAATCTTTAATAAGATAAATAATTTTATCTATAAAATAATTTCAAGAACAATTTTTTCATTACATTTGAAGGTACAGTACTGTTATCTTCATTACAACCAAAATGAAAGGGAAAGTCAGGGGCAACTTTCAATTTAGATCACACCTACCTTTAATAGTTGCTGCTGTTCCAAGACGAGAGGAACCAGATCCGATCTGAAAATATGACATGAAGTAAGATACTTATTGGACAAGTTCTATTGGAGCCATGCAACCTGTTTGCTGTGGCACAGGCTGTGCATGTCTTACTGATTTGCTGAGCTACCCAATCCCTCTGCATGCTCAGGACTCATGGAGCCCATCCACGGCCAGATCCTTCAATCTCAAGCAACTCATTGGCATATAATTATCATCGTTTTTTATACTGCATCATGACATGTTCACGTTATAAACAAAAGCAAAACCAGGCGTTATGTCTATCTGAAATAAATTTAGACTTCTTAGGGTATAAAAGGAAGGTTTGCAGGACAAATATATTAACATATGCTACAAAGTGCAACACAAGTCGTACCATCAAATTGTTAGTGTATCATTATGTACCTTCTTTAGTTACAGGCAAAAAGTAAATACTTCTTTATAGAACATTAAAAAATAAATAAAAGTCTAAGGCATCCATGAAAAATGAATTTTTAGCACAAACTGTAAGTAGAAAATTAAAACCTGTTGAGCTTTTACCGCTTATATTCAAGACAGTTTAACACTGCCCTAAAATTTCACAGCCATTATTTATTTATACTACCATGAAAATCACATAAATACCACAAATTTCACAAACACATTAAGAAAAGCAAAGATAACAACATAACAGTTACTAAATCAAGAAGTCTTAGCAATTCTTCCTATAACTTGTTTTCATGGATTCAAAGAAGAAAATAGTCAAGCAAACTTAACACTGTAAAATAAAATTAAGAACATTCATATAATACTTCATATTTTACCAAGTCTTCCCCTTCATTGGTTTGATATAGCAGGTGTGTATCACAAGAAATACACTCAAAATATAGGTTAATGTTGACTTTGAAGGGGCATGAGGGCCTTTCTTCATCTGGATGGCAATGGAATGGGTGCACACAGATGTAAAAATTCACTTAGCTGTACACTTAAGGTGTGTACCATGCTGTACAAGTTATATGCCAGTGAAAAAGTAAATAAAAATAAGCATACATATATAGGTTGAAACTACAAGTAAACTCTTGAGGTAGCCAATAAAAAATAAGCTTTGTAATAATTTTGAACTATTTTATTAAGCTTGGTTCTTCTAGTTTTTCCTAATTTCTGCTTTCAATTAGCCACAAAAGACATTACAATTTGCCAGCAAGAAAAAAACAAAAAGCATTTCGTTGCAAAAGAAAGTTTCATTCTTACAACACCTGTTACATAAGTTATAAAATTAACATATGCTCTTTTTCTACTAGAAATAAACATAACTTCCTAGACAGAAATTTAAAAACAAGAAAACAAAAACATCATTTTATGCATACCATTCCAGGAATTTAAACTTAAAAAAAAAAATTTAATATGAATATGGCAGTCATTTCCTCAGAAGCTCAAAGTATTCCCTTTCTCCTTCCTTAACCATCTCCTTATTTTGTTCCAAAATTGGTTATACACCTTCTCATCTATGAGAAGTATGCCCAGTCCCGAACAAACGCCACATTATCACCTCCAGATTTAGGTGAAAAACAACTCTTACTTCTTTTTTTCTCTCTCTCTTTTTTTTCTTTCTTTTTATAGAGATGGAGTTTCACCATGTTGACCAGGATGGTCTCTATCTCTTGACCTTGTGATCCGCCTGCCTCAGCCTCCCATAGTGCTAAGATTACAGGCGTGAGCCACTGCGCCTGGCCCAACTCCTATTTCTTTAAGTCACTATTAGTTGAGTATTCTATTACCTGCTGACAAATACCTTCTTAACAGATATAACAGAGTGGTTATATTTTATTCTTTATACTTTTCTGTATTATGCCTCCCCTCAAAATATCTAATAATTATGACTATTTACATGTGAAATAACATGGCATCCAGAAAATAAACTATAGTACATCCAAATGTGATGCATTCCCCAAAGTGTCACTGTAGAAAAACACTTAATGTTATTAATGCTCATGATATAACCAATTATGACATTATGTATTATTTTAATTTTCCTGTTTACCCTCACTTGTTAAATTTCCTAAAAATGAAAATTTTTAAATTAAGAAAAAATAGTATCTTTCTACACTTGGGAGTGAAGGTTTTTATTTAAGTGCTTTGCATAAACTAAAATATTCTACTGTTTATTCTCTATAACAAGTGTCATAGGAAGGATTATTAATACCAGGGAAGAAAGGTTACTTCTAACTATAGAGTATATTAGGCAAGGCCATCTCCCCTAAGAAGCCCTGCCTGTCTGTCCAGCTGGAAACAATTATTTTATCCTATGAAATCATTAGCTCTTCTTCTCTATCATTCCTATGACAATTTTTACTTTGTATCTTACGCTTATATTTTCTTGGTAACATATATCACATCTTTATCTTTGGTTACTTATATCACATCTACTATGAAATTATAATCTGTCAGTATAAGACACACTCGCCAACCCAGACTAAGTAGAATGCCTTGAATACAATGGGCACTAAAATATTTGATGTTAGAAAAGTGACGAAAGGAAAGAGGAGGAGGTAAGGAGAGGAAAGAAAGGTGGGGAAAAGAAAGAGAACAGAAATGGAGGGTAGAAGATGAAAGGGAGAAAGGCAGAGGTGAAGGAAAGAATGGTAACAATGACTATGACATAGCTATTATGGTCAGCAGATTCACTGTTTAGTACAGAAGAAATTTATATAAAGTATTATCATGTACAGCAGTACCTTACACATTATATAATAAAATATATACAAGAAACAATAGTATGTCTACAATAGTAATATCTCCATCAATATACAAAAAGCCAGACTCTACCTCATCACTTCAGCTTCTCTAAAGGGTAAGAATAATTATGTCAGCCATTTATTTTGTCACAATATAAAATAAAAACACTAAAATCCAAGTATCACAACAGCCTCCAATATTGGCCCATTTTTATTAAAAAGTTATTAAGTAAAACGTATGCTGTGTGTTTAACAACATGCACACATGCTTTAATCACAGTTAGTAAGGGACTTCCTACTGACTGCATCACATTTGGATGTACTATAAAAAGTAAGGGACTCCCTACTGAGTGTGATTAAAGTTCCAACAGAAACGATGTCAAGGTCACAGGCTCCAAAAATGCCCGGCCACTGCTGGCCCTTTCATCTGTCCTATTGCAAAAAGAAGAAAAGGTGTCCAAAAGACAATTCGAGAAATGTAGGCTTAGTCTCTGAGGGTCTGATACTACCTACATTTGGCAAGAAGAAAGCCCAGGGTTAAGAATACAAAACACACAGCCATATTCAAGAATTGAGGATGGGCGTGGTGGCTCACGCCTGTAAGCCTTTGGGAGGCCAAGGCGGACGGATTACGAGGTCAGGAGTTTGAGACCAGCCTGACTAACATGGTGAAACCCTCTCTCAACTAAAATACAAAAATTAGTTGGGCACGGTGGTGCATCCCTATAATCCCAGCTACTGGGGAGGCTGAGGCAGGAGAATTGCTTGAACCTGGAAGGTGGAGGTTGCAGTGAGCTGAGATCGCGCCACTAAACTCCAGCCTTGGTGACAGAGTGAGACTCTGTCTGAAAAAAAAAAAAAAAAAAAGCATTGAATTATTTCATTCTATAAAAAGAGACTGAGAGAAGCACAAGACCGCAAAAAAAAAACAAAAAAAAAACAAAAAAAAAACAAAAAAAAAAACCAGGATCAAGGATAGTAACCCTTGTCTTCAAGCAGGCATTGTAAAATTTGAAACTTAAAAAGTATCAACCTAAGGCTGGGCATGGTGGCTGAAATCTGTAATCCCAGGACTTTGGGAGGCTGAGATGGGCAAGATCACCTGAAGTCAGGAGTTCAAGGCCAGCCTGGCCAACATTGTGAACTCCGTCTCTACTAAAAATACAAAAAAATTAGCCAGGCGTGGTGGCAGGCACCTGTAATCCCAGCTACTCGGGAGTCTGAGGCATGAGAATGGCCTGAATCCAGGAGGTGGATGTTGTAGTGAGGCAAGATTGCACCACTGCACTCCAGCCTGGATGACAGAGCAAGATTCTAGCTCAGGAAAAAAAAAAAAGGTATTAATCTAATTAATATGTCATAGCTCTTTTTACATTCTTTAAACAAACAAACAAGCAAACAAACAAAAAAGACTCTTCATGTCTCCCATTCAATCAGCTTGTTACAGAAGGAAGACAAATTTAAGAACCTACATGTTCTGTACTATAATCAATCACAACCAAAACTATTACCAAAAAGTCATTCACTTTAAATGAACATGCTAATCAAATAGCGGCAAATCTTCTATCAAAATATATTAGAAAACAAGACCATGTTCAAGATTTTGATTCATATAGTGTTTTTCATAACACTGTTCTTAGGGCTACTAGTGAGGAAGAGTAGAATACTACAGGACAGAGTTGGCAGAATTATGTCTGCTATTTATTCATTTGTTAAATGAGAAGCTAGTTCTGATCTACCTGTAATGTTTTATCTAGACACATAGATAATTAGCAATCATTCAAGTCAACTGTACACAAGGCAATATATAAAACAGAAGAAAAAAAAAATCTACTCTGTAGAGCCTTATAAACTGCCACATAAATAAGTACTCCATCTGCAAGAGAAAGGGTCTACAGCATACGGGGTTTGAAAATCTTGAGAAACATAGGATAGTTACAAGAAGAGTTTAGTTAGACCAGAAAATACGGAGGACTAAGTCTTTCTCTAGAACAGAAAGGAAGGAGAAAAGAGAAGAATGGTTTCAATCCACAAGCAGTGTCGTAGGTAACGGGAAGACTGCAGTGAGAAGTAAGGTCTAGTCTACACCCTGTCATAAATCAGCTATTTCTTCTTCTATATAATGAAAGGACTGACACAATGACCACTAAAACCTATAGTTATGTAAAGGTCTGCTATGAGAAGACCATGAATGTTTCTCACAAAGTTCACAAAATTTTACTCTCTATAGTGAAATCATCTGCTGAGGAGGACAGCAGATACATAGTCCCAGGAATAACTGGGACTTTGATTAGTGTACAGGTATTTACGATGAATAAGAGAACTGGAGCAGCAATCCAGCTAAGTTCTGAAATAATACTTTAAGGGTCACCATTTTAAGTTAAAGTTACACAGTAGAAAGACATTAAAATTGGTAAAAGCGTATTTGTATTTTACTTTTAGCCTTACCATTAAACATCTTGAACACTGAGAGATTTTCAGCATTTGTTTTTATTTTTTGGTCACATTTAAACCAGTGGTAACCACAGACATCTACATCTCTCCAATACAGATGATGTGACGGTAGGTAAGACAGTACAAGCCAGAAGCTCAGTTTCCTAAGGGTACTCATAACTATCATAATCAAAACTATGTAAGATGAGTCTGTGGTAATGCTTAATGAGAATGTAATTAACTAATGTGAAAAGTAACTTTAAAAGAACATCAATATAATACATTATTAATAAACAATTAAAAATTAATAATCAGAAAGATAAGACAAAACATCAGCTGACTTAAAGACACGAGAAGAACTGAGACCACCATCCAGAGGAGGGAAAAAAGGCAAAATAAAACAGTATAGGTTCCTACCTGGTTGCTTGGATCTAGACCGGCATAAGAGTTTCTGGAACTGCAACCAACTGGGGGTGTGGCCTCTCGGATGAACTCAGACATCTCAATCCCTCCACCAGGATCACTGTGGAGAAAAAAATGAGAAAAAGAGAACTGTCATTATTTTGCTTTTCTTTTGTTAATTTTTTTAAGTTATACTTTTTTTCTATAAAACTAAGAGGTTCTGGTTTTTAATCGAGCAAATAGCAAAAAAGGTAAACAATGATCATTCTTCATTTATAAGTCTGACAACTGGAACTATTTTATAATAACATCACTACTTGAAAATACATAAAACTTTCTTATTCCAAATGGTCTACATCCAATCCAACATTAGAAACAGGCCTTAATTACAATTATAGCAAACTAAACATGTTATGATATGCGCCATCAAACCACTCTTACAAAGAAATGATTGCCTTTTGCTTCCCAAGAGCAAAGAGAAATTGTTCAATTGTAAAAACAGAATGTAATCAGATATTACATTAATGAATCCCCGCAAGATCAGTCCAAATGAGCTGCACGATACAGTGATGTACACACAAGAGAATAGTCATCCTGGTCAAAAGCTATTTGTATCTGTATTTTTTCAGTAAACAGAATGTATCTAGAATACTAACTTGTTTTACAGAACTGGAAGCCTAAGATTTTAGATATGTATGTGTTCAGAAGGCCAAAGTTAAAAAAGGAAAGTGATGCTCTGTGTAACAACGTAGAAAGACAAGAGAGAAAAGCAGTAAAATCAAAGCACTGGAGAAGCGCAAACACAGTATGTAAAGATAACAAGAACCCAGATTTACAGGAAAAAACCACACGCCAAATTTTATAAAACTTAGGAAATGCTACATAAGGTTCCTCAGGGAGACAACTCTTAGAATCTAAGTTATAATCCTATTTTTTGCCGTGCGCAGTGGCTTGCGCCTGCAATCCCAGCACTTTGGGAGGCCGAGGCAGGCAGATCACGAGGTCAGGAAATCAAGACCATCCTGGCCAACATGGTGAAACCCTGTCTCTACTAAAAATACAAAAACCTTAGGTGGGCGTGGTGGTGCATGCCTGTAGTCCCAACTACTCAGGAGGCTGAGGCAGGAGAATTGCTAGAACACAGGAGGTGGAGACTGCAGTGAGCCAAGATACCACTGCACTACAGCCCGGGTGACAGTGCGAGACTACATCTCAAATAAATAAAAATTAAATTTAAAAAAATTAAATAAATCCTACTTGTTGCCCAGAGTTTTTTCTCATTCTACCTGGTATAAATAGAGTAAGTATGCAGTAATTTTTCAGTTGTTATTATCAGGATAAAAGTTACAGTATATGTGTTAGATATTACAGAGGATATACCTTGCTATCTGGCATCCAATTCAACCTCCTGATTAGCAGAAAAAAAGAAAAAAGCAACCCCAAATTCTTCAGGTAAACCACCTTATCCCAAACTCTCATAGGCTTTTGGGTTTAGGAGTAGGCTCTACTGTCCAAAGTCATAAACATATCCCATTCTTCTGGTCATTGAAATTAGCTCTATAATAAGCACAGGAAACAACCCAGGTGAGAGGATATTTCTCTGTATCTGCTACTCTTAAATGTTGACACTTAAGGCCTGGAGCTGCTGCAGCTATCTTACAACCATAAGGAAGAGCCTGTTCTAAGAAGCCAACTAATGGAAAAGAACAGAGTCTAGCTAGAAGAAGAGAGGCGGGGACATGAAGTGACAGTCTGAAACGCTGCATCCTGACACATCTGAAGACATCCCTCACATGCAGACTTTTCAGTAATGTGAGTGGCAAACTCCCTTAAGCCTTTTTGGGCACAGTATTCTGACAGCTACAATCAAAAGATATAAGCAATATATAATTTTCCATTTAATAAGTATTTAACATTTAGTAGTTTGAATTCTAGTGTTTTTATTATCTATGATCTCACAATTATAATGTCCCTGTTTGCTTAACAGGTTCCTAACTCTAAGTCATTGACTACGGTCAGCTAATTAAGTTTCAATAAAGAAAGCTAGCTCTCTAACTTACTATCCATTTATGAAAATAGATTAGAACTCAGGTACACATGTAATGGCCAATTCAGTACACAAACACTCATGTGAGAGAAATGTAGAACATGGCTCAAGTTTATAAACTGTTTGGTATTAACTCATATAAGCTATGTAAGCCAGAAGGAGAAATTTTTCTAAACTGGAAAAACCTTAAGTGTGTATACAGAGGCACTATCACCACACTGCATTAGTAATGAATATTCAGCAATATTACCGTTTCTCCACTAGAATGCATCCACTAAGTGAGATCCAAAGAAATCAGAAGACTGAAAGCAAGGTACAGATTAAGAAATAAAATACTCAACAACACAGAAAGGAGAGAGAGCCCTTATCTTGCCTAGTCTACATATATATACACACACACACACACACACACACACAGACACACATACACATATTATATATATACAGATACATATGTATCAACTTTATTGAAATATGATTCGCATATCACACAATTCACCCTTTTAAGCTGTATAATTCAATGGTTTTTAGCCTATCATTAAATTATAAAACCACCACCAAAGCCAATTTTAGAGCATTTTTATCACCTCAAAAACAAACCCCTTTAACCACTACTACCCTTCCTTTCCATCCTCCTTAGCCCTAGACAACCATTAATCTACATTCTGTCTCTACAGATTTGCCTGTTCTGGACATTCTATATAAATGGAATTATATTTTATCTTTTGTGCCTGGCTTCTTTCACTTGGCATGTTTTCAAGGTTCATCCATGTTGTAGCATGAATCATGTATTTCATTCCTTTTTATAGCCAAATAATATTCCACCGTATGGATAAACCTATTTGTTTATCCAGTCATCAACAGATGGATAATCTTGCCTGGTTTTATACAACACTTCTGACAGCAAGTCCAAATTATTGCAATCTGAAGATACAGTTATTATTAATAATAAATAAAAACAGGCTGGGTGTGGGGTTCATGTTTGTAATCCCCGCACTTTGGGAGGCCAAGGGAGGCAGATCACTTGAGCCCAGGAGTTTGAGATCACACTGGGCAACATGACAAAACCCCACCTTTACAACAAAAATTACCTGGCGTGGTGGTATGTGCCTGTTCTCCCAACAACTCAAGAAGCTGAGGTAGGCAGATAGATTTAGCCTGGGAGGTCAAGGCTGCAGTGAGCTGTGATTGCACCACTGCATTTCAGCCTGGGCAATAGAGCAAGACCTTGTCTCAAAATAATAATAATAATAAATATTTACTAAGTACTTACTATATTCCAGTCATGGGAGTATGTGCTTTATTTGTATTTTCTGATAAAACTTTTTTATAAGTGCTATTATTCTCCTTTTACAATTGAAAAAACTGAAAACCAAAAGGTATAAAAACTTGCCTAAGGTCTCAGAGGAGGAATGAAACATAAACAAGTCACTGGTAAATGGAGTTCAGGTGAAAGGGGAGGACAGAAATAATACCTCCTCAGCACTCTACAAATAAGTTATCATATCTGTTCTTTCTTTATTTCCCACACTTGAATACAGGTACTCATAACCAGCATGGCCTAAGATAAGGCTCAAACACCAGGTCTGTGAAACTCTAAAGCCCACATTCTCACTTTTTGTTGTTGTGTTTAAGAGACAGGGTCTCGCCCCGTCACCCAGGTTGGGGTGCAGTGGTGCAATCATAGCTTACTGAAGCCTCAAACTGCCGGGCTCAAGTGATCCTCCCACCTCAGTCTCCTGAGTAGCTGGGACTACATGCACATGACACCACACCCGTCTACTTTTTTATTTTTTGTAGAGACAGAGTCTCACTGTATTACCCAGGCTGGTATCAAAATCCTGGCCTCAAGGGATCCTCCCACCTTGGCCTCCCAAAATGCTGGGACTACAGGTGTGAGCCACTGTGCATGGCCCTCATTCTTTCTAAGGAAGCATACTGCCTTACACCAAATAGGCACTGAAGTTCTCTTTCCAGTTCAAAACCGAAAGTAAACACCACTATTTAGAGCAGGGATTTTAAAACTCAGTACTGTTGACATTTTCAGGTCACATAATTCTTGACTGCATTGTAGGATGGCTAGTGGAATCTCTGGCCTTTACCCACTAGATACCAGTAGCAACCCCCTCAGTGTGACAACCAAAAAAAGGCTCCAGACATTGCTAAATGTCCCCTGGGGGGCAAAATTACCCACTCATCACCACACCCCACCGCCCATCCCATTGAGAAATGATTTAGAACTAATGGTCAAAGATCAATATTGCATGGGAAGAAAGGAGATATCAAAGGAACAAGAAAGACGAAGGGAAAAAATGGACAGCTACTTTTATTTAAAAACCCTCTAGTAAAATTTCTGCACTTCTTTCTTTTCTATAAATTCAGAAGTAAAACTCTTAGCCAAGCTGTAGGTGTTCTAAATATAAACATATAAAATAGCTGAGTAAGAGTTTTCTTTATCGGCAAGACTTGCAGGTTTGCACAGATTTCAGCACATACCTGGAAAGCATAGTAGTTTATAACTCCCACAGAAGCAAAGTGGTCTACTGCAGTAAGCAATATACCAAATTCAGGTACTATCTACCTTTATGCCCTAACTTCCCCATCTGTTAAGAAAAAAAATAAACCAGGTACAGGCAGAAAAGCAGAAGGGGTCTAATCTGAATTACCGAGAAGCCTTCACAAATTAATTTGTTGATTATTAGTATCATATTAATTGCTCATGCTCAGGCTTTGATCAGAAACTTTGCAATACCATTAAAGTACCGAGTTTGTAAATCTAGAGTAAAATGATGCTCATAAAAACAAGAATATATAAAAACAAAGTTCCTATATTCACAGGTACAAAGTTCCTAAACAGAATTATCTCTCTCAGAAAAGAACCTAAAATCCAGCTTCATACAGTTTAAACTGATCCTTAGTTTACAATATTATAAACATTACTGTCCTGAGAAACAGAGTAACCATGATCTTTCTTCAAATGTTTATATTCAAATCCTAAAATTAATGTTACCTCCTGAAGCATTAGAAATGTGAAAAAAAAGTGACTATTTCCCTAAAATAAAGATTTAAGCATT